TCACCGCAGAGGCGCTGGTGTCACAAGTGATGTTAGAAATACATAGCTTCTTACGGGAATTGTATATTATTTTGTGAAAATAATTAAAATAAACTTATGATAAATGTGGAAACGAAGAAATTTGGTAAATGCTTAAATGGGGCTGATGGCAAACTAAAACACAGTATAACTCAAAATATTTGTTATTTTTTTGTAACAAATTAAAGTTTGATCAGTCACTACAACAAGTGCACTTCCATGAAATTCATCTTCCAGAGGAATAATTTTTTCAATAATATTAACAAAAAATGGGTACTAGCATTTCTTTCCTTTTTTATTTTAACAAATCAGTTTATTCGTATGGTGGTTTTATCTTTTATTAGAACTCGACAAATACAAAGGAAGATTCGGGAATATGCAAGGTATTGCCTCATTCTTAAACTTAGTCATTCTGTTTTAAAGCTATTTTATCCCTTATTAAAATTTGTAATAAAATAAACTTCGTAAGATAAGATGTATAACTAGTGTTCAATAAATTTACAACTGTAAATAAATACATTATTAAGCTTTAAAAATGCTTAGATAAATGTTGCCAAAGATTTGCCTTCAGCTATTTTTATCTCTAAAATATCTCGATCTACACCCGGGAACAAAGCAAATTCTGCTTTTATGTTTTTTGCCACTCATGATAGGCACTTTTCTACAAATTTTTGTACTTTTCAACAATATTTCTAGAAAACCATTTTTATATACATTGACACACAGAAAAAATTAACGTCACTTACGAACCACCCGCCAGTTACAGTCAGTTTGACGAATTTCACAAAAACCAGGAAGGAAATTTGACATTTGACTATTGTAGATTCGACTCCTCTATAGTCTTCATAGTCTACAGGTAGATTTTATGTATACCAACTTTTCCAAAGCCTTTGATTCTCTAGTTCATAAACCCACCATTTTCTAGAATAGCGCATTCACCAAAATCGATATCTCTAGGAGCTTCCGGTAAATTGTAAAACAATTAAAATTAGTGTTTCCACTACATTTTAGAAATTAATGGTTTACGACGATTTAGTCGTCCCACAATTTGGGTTATTGTAACAATTTGTTGTGAAGATATTAATAAATTAATAAAAATTCATACTTTTCCATTTTTTGCTGAACCGGTCCGGTCGAAGTGGTCCCACGGGAGGGTTTCGGATTTAAAAAAGTGGAGGTCATAAGAGGTCCAAATAAGGCAGAGAGGATTTGGAGCAGGACCGAACTGGCCAAATTGAGTGCACAATATATACTATTGTATTTTAATCGAATTGGGCTTTGTTCCTAAATAAATAAATATAATTTAGGTGCCAACTGTAGGAGTCTAGTAACCCATCCCGATGGAAAGCACATCATTTATGCCCTGGGTAATAAGGTGACAATTATGGAATGGGCTTCGAAGAAACAAAGATTTTTGGTAGGCCATACGAACATTATCTCTTGCGTTGCAGTATCCTCTTCGGGGACGTACATCGGGAGTGGACAGATCAACCATATTGGATTCAGGGTAAGACAGTTTTCCAATTATTGGTAGTGGGTTTCACAAGGAACAACTTATACTGTAAATCTGTGTGTCAAGTACTGTGAAATAAATCCCTTCAGTACCAGCCACAGATGTACTAACTTGAGAAAAAAATATGCCTATAGTATTGCCATCTACAGCCCAGATCTACTTGTATAATTTCAGACCATGCTAGTAGTTTCGCTCATTTATTAGAAATGTATTAACTTGAACTAAACTCTTTTTTAAGGCTCGAGTGATTGTTTGGGACTACAAGAAAATGGAAATTGTATCGTCGCATGAACAACACAAAGTTCGTGTCGAAGGTTTGGTGTTTTCCCAAGACGAAAAATTCGCTATAAGTATAGGTGGCAGGGATTGCGGATGCGTCATAGTTTGGAATATACATGAACAGCAAGTTGTTTCTGCGATTCAGGTAAATTTAATTGTAATAGTACAATATTATGTAACAATATGCGCAAGTAGATTCTGTTTTAATAGCAAACAGTAGAGCTACGTCGGGGCAATATGCGTGAAAGTGTCGTCATAGCAAACGCCATAAGAATTGATAGGGAGACTAAATCAAGTTATTGTAAAATCACTAAATGCTGCTATTTTCATTAAATTTCTTGTTTTGACAGATAATGTAGGACACGGGTATTGTTAAAGACTCGGTAGAAATATTTATTAAAAAAAAAATGGGAAACTATTTAATATTGAAATGGAGTTTAGAACTTGAGTTAAGAACTCGAGTTAAGCATTATTAATAATGATTTTTTGTAGGTTTCCAAAGGAGCAGCTGGAGATGCAACTGTAATAGAGAGCATGCGTAAACGAGGAGAATGCTTTATAACCGGCGGAGATGTTCATTTATCTGTATGGGTGATAAATGTTGAAACTAAAAGTTTGAAACAAATTACGGTGCATACGATGAAACGCAGACGAACTATACTATGTGTGGATGTGAACGATAGAGACGAGGTACGTTTTTAAATCACTCTTAAGATATTTTGTAACATGATGTTCATGGAATATTTGAAACAATTTTACACTAATAATTTCATTACAAGCAGCTACAGCGACGTCACTGTTGTAAAATAGACGTTCTCTAAGTTTTTTAACTATAGAGAACAGAATATTTATCCAATAAATAATCCAAAAAATCCGGAAATACGAACAAAATAAAATTTATTTCTGTAAAGAAAATGATGTAAATGACTCAAATGCTTTGACTTTGACATATGACAAAGTAGAAAGTACAGTTTCGTGATTTATCATAATACATTCCTGCCGTTGGAATCTCATCTTTCGATACGACACGTATAGAAACCCCTATCTTCGACAGACTGCGGTTCTTATGTACTGTCTCTCTATTTAATACGTAGCGTGTCGAGTTCGCACACAAGCATCTCTGTGGTTCCCTTTCTCATACTGACCACAGAACACTTACTCTTAGAACGATAACTCCCATGTTAGAAAATGGTGATAGAATTTCAGTGCTACCTGGCGGACGTGCTTGATTTTTCCAAGTCCTTGTCGGGTAAGAGGCCATATGAAAAAAAGAAAAAGAATAATAAAAGAAGAAGAGAAGAAAAGAGCGGGGCCACTCAAATTTGACAGTAAACATTTCTCGCATTAAAAACTGTTAGCCAAATTAAGATTTTTCAAACAAACTGCATTTTTGCGTTGAGTTGCATGAAACAATCTTAACTTGACTAACAGTTTTTAGATTAAAAAAACAAGAATATTCAAAAAATAAATTTATTAATAATAAATATAAAAAATCCAATATTTAAAAAATGTATTATATATGAAATAGTTGTCTATCAGGCTGCTACGTATTCCAGAATACAGCATTGTGCCCCTAACAGAAGAATATTACCTCTAAAACAGAAAACACAGTAAAAGTATAAAAATAAATGTAACATTAATCAGAAACAATGGCTGTGTTCACCATTATCGAACAGTTTCATTTGATTAGGAATCATATGATACTATGCTTTGTGTAAACAGTTGGGATGACGGTGAACGAACAACTGACGGTGTTGAAATTTGAAATATCTTTAGTTGAAATTTGAAATATCTTTATAAGAGTTTGTACTTTAAATACTCCTACGATCAGTTATTATTCCAAACATTTTGAGTCGGGTATTGAAATTATTTTATGGTAAAATATGTTACGACACATTTTACTTCAATCTGCACAAATAATACTGCCACAGACCCTTACTTTAGTTCCCATTTGGCTTGTTTGACAAAACTAAACGCAAAACTATCATTACAAATAACAAAACATCTGTCAAATGTAAAATATCGTTGATTATTAAACGTAGAAGCGATTTTAATTAGCGATCTTACGTTTTAACAAACGATTTCAAAAAAAGCTTCCAATAAGTCGATAACAACTCAAAAATAAATAATAAATTAGGACCAAAGGGACATTGAAACTTAAGCAATACTCAGAAGAATAAAAATAACAAACGTGTCTTAATCTTTTTAATAAATAATGGAACATTCTTTAATATCCCCTAGTTTGTTTCAATAGTATGGTTTTAATTCAACATTATCTAACTAAATTACCTATTTGCAACAAAAATGACAATTATTTCAAATTTTTTAATCCAAATTAGTATTTTTTATTTTATGAAGTATTTATTTTTCACGGAACCCTTTAGTGATGTCACAGCTTGTAGTGAATAAGCTGTGGTGATGTGGTCCCGTGGATTACAGTTTAAGAAACATAAAATTTTAAAACTTACCAATAATAGCATATTTTGTCTTTAAACGTTTAGTTTAAGCCAGAAGATGTAACTATTTGCTTTAATCAACATACTCGATGTCTAATCATTTGAAGTCAAAGACATTTATTTCACTGAATATTTTATTTTAGTTTATTTTGAATGCACAGGTGTAATTTGAAGGCAGTCCATCCGGTGCACTTTCAAGAAAATAACACAAATTTATTATAACTAAATCAATTAAACAAACTGAAATCACTAATGAATGCAACCAAGTTTAACAATATAAATTCACAATTATTGTTAGTTAGTTTTCGCCATGACACCTTGCCCACCCCACAACATAAAAATCAATATTTACCTGTCATTTGTCATTACACTCCCACCACCCTCCCCACCGAACGACTGCAGCGCTACCTCAGTCTTGCGCGTAGGAGTTTCCCCCCTAATACTGACATAGTAATAGAGGACTTCTATACAAGGGAAGTGCAACCAACTTAACAAAATAAAATTGACACTAATGACATAAGAAATCGGGTCACATAAAGAAGCTGTTTTTTAGTTTACTTTTTAGTTTTTCTTATCCACGCTAAAGGTAACGGTAAGGTAAAAAGCCTCCTAGTTTAGGGTATTTTACATTTAAAGGTTGAAAAATTTTGTCTGTCAGCTGTCAATTATGGTGATGATAGAACACAGGCGTAACCATAGATGGGCATAACGTAACTAGTGTTGTATATGGTTGTATAGTGTATGGAACTAGAATTTGTAGCAGCATCATTTTTGCATTTGACATAAATATATAAAACCAGATGAAAAAATGTTTAAAGAAACCAGGAGAAACACAATTAGACTATTAACAATAAAAAAATAAATCGCAATGCTACGCTTATATTTTGAGATTATCGATAGCTGATATTGACAAATGTCTTCAACCTCTAAATATACAATACCCTAAAATAAAAAGTCTTTATTACATTACGGGTGCAACATGGTATGTAAATGGCATATAAGTAGATAAGAAAAACAGCCTCTTTATGTGACCCGATTTCTTATGTTATTAGTGTAAATTTTATTTTGTCAAGCTGGTTGCACTTATCTTGTATAGAAGTCCTCTATTAGCACCACTGAACTATATATTAAACTGGAAGAACAAAGCCGATCAACAAAATCAAGCAGCATAGCAAGGTGATATTTGACAATTTGGCGCCCACATGTGCGTATCGAAATGCACTAAAAAGGATCATTCAACTACGACACCTTTTAATTTAAGAAAATCACTTAAAAATGATTTTTGATTAATACGCAGCTGAAACAAATGTTCCAATAATAATTATTATTAAAATAGCGCGTTATTAACAAAAAATAATATAATTTGTCGTAGTACGCCCGTGAGAAACGTGACGTAGAATGCTCTTAATTGACAATCTGGCGTCCAAATTGTCATGCGCACTGACCGTTTTTTTCACCCATGTCGGCTTAGAAATTAGGAGTAGGGTTTGTCATATAGCCATCCAGTTTAATATCAAGGTCGGTGATTAGCACTGAACTATATAGGATCTTTCGTTTACTGTTGGTGTAGTGTCCACCAGTGTAAATTACACCTGTTACACCACCTTATTCACCCTAATTTACTTGCTCCTGATTCCTTATACACATGTCGAGTGTAATTCACTCCTGCTAAATAGCTGGTGGAGAAAATATTCACCAGTGGACACCACATCGCCGACAGGAAGATATAGTGGGTTTTACACCAGGCCAAACGAAAGGTTTAGTGTCCGTTGGTGTAGATCATTCCTACACCAGTGAGACGAACGAAAGAACCTTATGTTAAACTGCAAGCGCAAAGCCGATCAACAAAATCGAGCCAAATAGCAAGGTGATATTTAACAGGCTGGCGCCCACAGTGGCGTATTCAAATGCACTAAGAGGCAACACCAAAATTAAATTGAACAGTTATTACATTCAACTGCAACACTTTTTAATTTAAGAAAACTACTTGAAAATAATCTTTGATTAAAATGAAGCTAAAACAAATGTTACAATAACAATAATTAAAATACCACGATATTAATAAAAAATAATACAACTTATCGTAGTAAACCCTTGGAAAACGTGACGTAGAACGTTTTGTTCCAGGGGCTCGATTCTCGAGTTCATTGGAAAAATTTTCCATGGGAAAAGATTCCACTACTTATATTCCCATGGTAATAGGTTATGCAATTCTCGAACTTGTCGGAATAGACATTCCCATGGAAATAGTAGTTCCACGTAGGTCTGATATTAAGTCCACGAATATTTCGAAACAACCAATAACATTAAAGATATTTTAAAATTTACTGTTGGCATTATCGGTATTTGTTGTGGTTTATGGGTAACCTGTTACATGCCGAGCCCCCGCTCCGGAGCAGGTGCCGTGCCGAGAAATCGCTAGCAAGACCGAGGAACAAGGGAAAATATTCTATTGTATAATTAAAAGTTATTGAATTATTAGCTTTTCTTTTTACATGTTGAAAAAAGAAAAAGTAGCTTTTGTACGGAAGAGCAACGAAAGTTTCGAGAAACTAAGAAATTCCTTCGTTAACGGAAATAATAAAATTTTCGAAAGGGTTGCTTCATTATTCAATTTACTACAAATTTCTCAATTTGTATTATTTACCAGTCCCTCAGCAGCTCCCACAATTGCTAACTGATTTAAGAAAATCAGTTCATACAGTTTCTTAGTGAAAGAAAAGTAAAAATAATATACCTACATAAATAAAATAATATCAATCAACTTAAATAATAAGTACAAACAAGTAAAAATCTATAAATACGCCAAAAAAATGTTTTAACTACAATTTTACCAAAAATCAAAGATATCCGAAAATCTTTGGTTGTGTGTTAGTCCTTCGTCAAATTTTCGACTTTAATGCGCAAACTCTAGTACAATTCCCATTGGAAAACACAATTTCCAATGCTTGTAAGCAGGGGAATATTTTCCCATACTTCTCATTGGAAAATATTACACCGCTTGTGTTGAGAATACAAAAACTGAATTCCCATGGGAAAATTTTATTTTCCCATGGGAATAAAACTCGACAATTGAGTCCCAGGACGGACGAATTGCTCTAGGAATTCAGTTAAAAAATTGTAAATAGCTCGTTAACTAAGAAAGATACAAAGTTCACTTCGCTATAATAAAAATTTAAAAATCCCTAGTTCTTTTTGATTTTAAGATCGATAAAGCAAGTTTCTTTATGTCAA